CTCAGATGGGAAGAGAAACACAAGGGCAGTCAGGGCTCCTGGCCCGATCCCGACTGGGGCTCCTGAGCATCTAACGAGCTCTTCTCAACTGGCTTTGCTGGGCACCGAAGCTCCTTAGAGACAAAGCCACAGTGCTGTGGTGCCAGGGTCGAACCATAGCCCTGCCATCAGCTAGCTGTGTTTCCTTGGGTGTGCTGTTCTGCCTCCCTGAGCCCGAGCTGCAACTGTAAAGTGGGGCTAATGACAATGTAGTCCCTCCCAGATCCAATAAGCTACTGCTTGTCACCCAGCTGAGTGCCTGGCACGCAGGCGGTGCCCAAGAAGAGCTAGTGATTCCTGTCACTGCATCACGGCCCAACACAGAATCACGGGGTCCAGCTAGAAAAGTCACAAAGATCAGTCGCCACTTGCCCCTGACAACGTGGCCGGGAGTGGGGTGCCCCAAGGCAGGGGATCCCAGGGCCTAGGCATCACCCCACAGTCCTTGACCCTGAGCCAGCTTCCTCAACTCCCCCGCTCGGGAAGCCTCATCCTTACCTTACCTGGAACAGGCCTGCTGGACCAAGTTCTGCCTCTGAGACTCGTAAGCCATCTGGATGAGCCGGTTCTTACAACTCTCGGTCAGCATCTGCTGCATGGCAGCTGAGGAAACAAGGGGGCAGGGCTGAGAAAGGGCAGCCACTCCTGGGGTGGCCTCGTGGGTCATCCACCTGAGAGTCACCCTTGAAAAAAAATCTTTTTTTTTAAACTCTAGAAGTAACTTCAGCTTGAAAGACTAACTGTAAAACACTGAATAGCACCCACACAGTCTTCCATAATCTTGTCACCCAGAAATATTACATTTTGATGTATATTCTTCTGGTCAATTTTAATGCATATTTATGGATTTAAAAAAATTTAAAAAAAAAGAATTCAAAGCAGGGACGTGAACAGATGTTTGTATACCTACACTCATAGCAATGTTATTCACAACAGCCAAAAAAGGTGGACACAACCAAAGAGCCTATTGACAGACGGATAAACAAAATGTGGTCTATCCATACACTGGACTATTAATCAGTCTTAAAAAGGAAGGAAATTCTAACATAAGCTACAAGATGGATGAACCCTGAGTGAAAGAAGCCAGTCACAAAAGGACAACACTGTATGATTCCACTTATGTGAGGCACATAGAGACAGGAAGTAGAATGGTGGTCCTGCAGGGTCCAGAGATGGGGAAATGGGGAGATTCTGCTTAGTGGGTAGAGCTTCATTTTGGGATGATGAAAAAGTTCTAGAGATGGATGGTTGTACAACAATGTAAACGTACTTAATGCCACAGAACTGTACATTAAAAGTGGTTAAAATGGTAAATTTTATGCTCAGTATATTTAACCATATGAGAAAATTAAAATGTTACCACGCTAAAGTTACCACTTTCTCACCTTTTATAAATACATTCCTATGTCGTCATGGTGATGTGATTTTAACGTCTACAGAGTCCTACAGAGCATGGGTTGCCAAAGCTTAAGATAATCCTCTCTTTCAGGGCATTCAGGGTCTTTTTGCATATTAAATGATACTTCTATAAATATCTTGCTCAAACATCTCTGTGCACATCTGACCATTTGATTACCCCCTAGAATAATTCTCAGAAGTGCGCAGTGTTAAGGTCATGGGTACAGGTCATGTATACAAGTTACCCTTTCTGCCCTCCAGAAAGATTCATATTGCCTTTGGCAGCACCCAGGACGGCTCGGTACCATATGCCCTCAACAATTCTGGGTTATTACCTTTTTTTGCCTTTTTGTTATTTGCATTGAAATTTTTTAGTTATAAAAATAATACACGCTCATTCTTAAAAAGCTAAGCAACAGGGAAGTTTGAAAAGGTGGAGACAAAAGTCTCCTAACACAGAGCCTATCCCCAGCCAGCAATTTTGATAAACATCCTTCTGGGGATGCAAACGCAGTATTTCTCTTTATAAACAGTGGATAATGGTGACCTTAAAACAGGGACATTCAAGATAGGACACCTCATCGGGAGGTAGTGGGAGATGGTGTATGGAAAGTGCTTGGCCCAGTGTCTGGTACACAGTAAACCTCGACTAAGGGTGCACAAAATACCTCTTTCTCCTGCTCAGGCGCTGAAGAATGGGGTGACCCAGAAAGAATCGCTCCTTATTTTAAATAATGAGGAACTGCCTCCTTGCCTTCCTTGGCACGTGGCTCGATGTTCTCAGGATCAGTTGGGGAGAACTCCTCTCGTTGTGTGGACAGTGTAGAGCCCCAGGACCACTTGGGGAGTGACAGGAAGAGGGACTCCCAGGAGTATGGGAGGGGCCACCACAGCTCACGATGACAGTAACTCTAACAGCCATGCTTTGTGCCAGGATGATCTCATCTGGCCCTCATAATGACCCTATGAGGCAGATAATTATCTGTCTCCCCATTTTATAGATATGAAAACTGAGGCTCAGAAAAGTGAGGGACCAGTAATGCCCCCTGTATCTGAGCTGGGATTCTGAATCCAAGTCCAGGCTGACCCTAGGGCCCACGTTCCATGACTAGACTTTACTGCCCCTCCTGAGGGATTAAGTAGCATACTCAGTACCAATAGAGGGATGGCTGTCACCTCCTGCCTCAGTCAGCCACGCTCTGTTTCCATGACCCCCGCCCCTCCCCAACCCAAGACTCACAGGCAATCTCCCGGCGACGCAGGTTCTCTGTCTCCTCCTGGGTTATGGACATCAACTGCTCCATTCTTATTCTAGAAAAAAAATCGATCCATTTATTCAGCGTATGTGACATTTCCAACAGGGAATCCCATCAGATGAGCACCACCTCCTTCAGGAAGTCCTCCATATGCGTGCTCTCTGAAAGCCCGTGGCAGGACGGACCTCCATGGGGGCTCTGTTAACTTTCAGCCTTGTGGGTGGGAGCTTCTTGCATAAAAAGATGAACATTCCCTTAGGAAAATGGGCAAAGGACACAAACAGCCCCCTGATGTTACTGCTTGAATGCAAGTGACCACTGAACATACAGAAAGATCCCTAGCACCACCGATAACGAAAGAAGTGAAATCTTGTCACCCGTCAGGCGAGTTGACATTAAGAAAACTGATAAGCACTGGAGATGGCAGTGAACGTGGACAAGTGGGCATTCTGTACACTGTTGAGAGGGGTGTAAATTGGCAAAATGTTTTTTGGGAGGCAGTCTGGCAATACCTATCGAAATGTACTTTGAGTCTTTCCTTCCAAAATATTCACATAAGGCATAAGGGCACATCTAATACTGCTTGTAATACTGCTTGTAATTATGAAACACCGGAAACCACTTACATGTTCACAGAGGACTAATTACTTAAACTATGATATAATTATACAGTGGAATTTGCTACAGCTATTACAATTAATGAGGTTTTTGGCATGGAAATACATCCATGATATAACAAGTGAAAATAAGAAAGTAACTGCATGTATGTACGTGCATGTTGCTTGTGTGTATATTTATTCCCCACACTAAACTGGCACAGTGGCTGGGAGGGGACAGCCTTTAATGTTTCTTGCAGAAGAAGCACATATGGTCCGGGCATTCTGCGTTCCGCCCAGGACCACAGGCTGCACAAAGGAAGGCCATATCTGGTGTATCCATGGACCCCAGGCCCAGCCCAGAGAGGGCACTTGGTCAGTGTGCTGAATAAATGATGCCACCTGCCACAGCTCAGCTCGGCCTTGACCACCCCCAGCTGCCACAGCCCCCTCAGCTAAAGCGGAAGAGGTGATGGGGCTTCCCTGCAAACCCACGGGAGCCCCCGAAGGAGGCCTTCCCGGGCAGCCAGGGGTCAGGAAGGCTGGGCCCATGGTGAGGGAAGAGTCTCCCAGGCACAGCAGCCAGGTCCACACTGCTATTTTGGGATCCCCAAGGATCAGGAGGGATGCACGCTAATACCCCAGGGAGCTGGGGCGGGGGGTAGGGCACTTCCCCCACATCTTACCATCTTTTCTAAAGTGCCTCTCAATGCAGACAACTTGGAGAGTGCAGAAAACACAAAGATCACCATCTCCAATTCCTGCCTCTCGAAGCGTTCAGTGTAAACGCCTGGGGTGGGTCCTTGCGCTTTCTCAGTACAGATACAGGCAGGGTGTCTTTAAGAAATGATACACTGTAGACTCCACTTTACGACTTAGCAATAGAGTGGGCGCGTTTCCATTAAATAAGGAATATTCTTAAGATATTTAATGGCTACAGATTATTCCTCTGTATATAACTTCTAAATGTAGATTTTTTTCTAATTTTTTATACTAGAAATATGGTTGGACATTATACATAATTATTCACATCTCTGGGTATTTCTCAAGAGTGTCTAGTATTTTAACAAACTTGAAGGCAGCGATTCTTTTTAATTCAATACTCCCTAAGGAGGTGAACCTCCTTACAGTTTTATAAAACTTTTCCAGCATAATCCTTGAGAATCACAAGTCCTTCTCTCCCCAGAGCCGCAAGCCCCCAGGAAGGACCGCAGTGCTGAGAAATGGCTGGAGCAAAACACTTACCTTTCATTTTCCAGTGACTTCAGAATCTCAGAACTTTTCTTCTGCCTGTGGAGGAAACCATGACAGGCCTGCAGTCACTAGTGGGTCCGTTTCCAACAGAACCACTCAGGGGGCTTAGGAACTGATCACTTAGGGGTTCTGTGTCTCAGGCCAATTCCTTAACCACTTCAAACCCCAGCTCCTTGTCTGTGAAATGGGAATAATAATTTTTTAAAAACTTCATTGAGTGTTAGTAAAGAGTGAATGAGAAAACAGACATCAAGTGCTTGGCACATAACGCCCAAGAGACAGCAGCTTTCCTGGGCGCCTTGGTGGTGAGAACCGCGCACGGCTGGCCGGCCAGCCCCCCGGGCTCTGTGTAACTGCGGGACGAGGGAGGAGACAGACTTGGAGGACAGTGGAAAGACTGGCAACAAAGGGGTGTGGCAGAAGCCTGTTTCTGGAATCTTTCCCCAAGGGACCCCAAACTAAACTTTCTCAGGCTTCTGGAGATCTCTATCTGACCCACTTTCTCCCACGCTCCATCCAGACCTGCTCCCAGCGGCTCCTGCCTTGGACAGGATCTGTTCAGGCAAATCTCACTACAGGGTGAATGGCTGACCTCAGTGTGATAGGTGACTTGGAACCCAAAATATTGGAGCAGTATGCTATCTTGACTTGTTAAACTTACTCATTTTACAGATGGGAAACTTGGGAGGCAAAGGTCCAACTAGTAGCCGCCCCAAGACAAACAAACCTGGCCATACCCAGATCAGTAGACCCTGTTTAAGTTGGTATGAACTGCAGCACCAAGAATGGATTCTGACGACGGAAGCCTCGGGCAGGGTCAGAGACTGTGAGGGAGAAAGAAGGGACCCCCATCTTGGGCTCCTCAAAGGGCACCACATGGGGGCAGGTCTCTGGGTTTGGGGGCTGGGTGGACGGGAGCCTGACCTCTGATTCTCCTGCAGGAGTTTCTGGATCCGGTTGGAGATGTTCTGCTCCGTCTGCTTCAGCTGCTCCTGCAACCGCTGGCGCTCTGCGTCCAGGTAGCGCTGGCGCTCGCTCAGGCCCTGCTCCAGCCGGGACTGCTCCTGTGGCAGGGAGGGCAGAGGTCCGAGTCGGCTGGGACTTCCTTAGATGCCATAGGGCAGGGAGGGCCCCGGCCTGGGACAAGGAGACTGGGTTTCCTCTCTGTCCTGCCAGCCCTTTCTGTGTGACCCTGGACCAGGCCGTCCCCTCGCTAGGCTTCAGGACATTTACAGCTTGCAAGGAGCCTGGACTAGGTGACCTGTAGCATCCCCACCCCCAATGTCTTGGAGGGTGGGAGAGCCTTCCCACATCAGAGGGACCTCAGCCCGAGTCAGGAGGCTCCCAGCAGAGGGAGCAGACAGGCCTGACCCGACTGAGCTGCTCACGAACCTCCTTGACCGTCTGAAGGATCTCGTCCTTCTGACTGTTGCTCTGCTGCAGGAGCTGGGCATGCTCTCGCTGCCCGAGCTCTAGGCGCCTTTCAAACTCGAGTTTCTCCAGCATCTTCTGTTCCTGCAAGAATGTAGATCCCCGTGACTGCTAGGACATGAGAGCAGGGTGAACCCCACCCCTCAACTCTGAATAGTGCAGGCTGAAGGTCTGAACATTGAGCAACACCCCTGCTGGGCCCAACTGTAATAAAATGGCAGAGACCAGTGGGTTAGAGCCTGGGGTTGGGCTCAACCTCTCTGAGCCTCAGCCTTCTCATCTGTCACATGGAGATACCCTACCACCCACTGAGGCTGTGTGAGGATGTGGTGAGATGATGGAAGGGGAAGGCATTACTCTACCCTCTGATTCAGAGGTGGGAAGAACTTGTTTCCTCAAATCTTTTATAATTAGTGGAGATGATTAACGAGAAGAAAAGTGACAAAAGGCATTTTCTTACCTTTCTCTTCTCATAGTCTGAGAACCTATTCTGGGGGAGAAAAAAAGATAGTGATCAAGAAAGGTGGGTAGCAGGGAGGAGGGTATAGCTCAAGTGGTAGAGCACATGCTTAGCATGCGTGAGGTCTTGGGTCCAGTCCCTAGTACCTCCTCTAAAAATAAACCTAAATACCTCCTCCTACTGCCAAAATAAAATAAATATAATGCTAAATAAATTGAATACTTTTTTAAACTTAAAAAAAGAAAAAGAAAAAAAAGAAGGTGGGCAGCAGTGGCTCTCACTGGCACACGGCCTAGAATCTCCAGGGCACCTGACACCACTCAGATGCACAGGTCCATCCTGGAGCACCGCATCAGGGAGCAGGGATGGGTGGGAAGAGGGGGATGGTTCTGATGGACACCAGGGTTGAGAACCACTGAGAAGGTACGGTGCTCCGAAAGGAAGACTGAGAAATGGGTATCTGATTCCCTTGTATGTCTGCACAATGCACCTGCAGCACCCAGCTCTAGTCACCAAAACACAATGTACAGAGCTGTGTGCACAAGTTCCTGCAGAACTGTTCAGGAGTGAAAACACTGAAAATAACTCATCTGCCCATCAACATGTGATTACTTCAGTAAGTCCTGGTGCATCCATACAATGAATTATTACACAGCTATCAAACTTGGGGGCGAATGTGGGTGCAACTACAGAGAAGGCTGTCAGCTACCTCTCACTGTGTGTGCAGCACGAGTCCACGCTTTTAAAAACAACACGAACAAAACTCAATTCTGAGCTTTACGGTCGTAGAGACAAAAGTCAGGAAGCAGATTCATTAATCAGTTCATGATGATTACCTCCCGGGGGTGGGACTGCAGGGTGTGGGGGGTGACATTCACTTTACATTATTTCTATATGGGTTAGATTTATAACAGGGAGCATGAATTACTTTTGGAGTTGAAGACATCGACACACACAGGCACCCTTCTATTTAGTTGTCTGGCTCTGAGACCAGGATCAGGCTGTCTGAGCTGTAAAAGCAGCATCCTATAAGGAAGTAAGGTTTTTTTCCTATGCTGAGGTAGGAGTAACAATTTTTAAGTTAATCTTTAGTTATACAGATAATATCTGAATATATCCTCCTTGTAAAAAACTAAGCATGGCACATATAAGACTAAAGTACCCACTGACCACTCTCAGGCTTAATCCTGGTTCCCTCCTGACCCACCCCACCCGTGCCCCCATGTAAATATAATCATTAGACCCAAGTTCATGTATCTACTTACATATAATTTATGCCTCTGGAGAAATATATATATTCATGTGTGTGTGCAGTATATAAACTTTTTTTAATGAAGGTATAATTTACATATTGTAAAATTCATCTTTTTAATGTACAGTTTTATGCACACAGTCATGCAACCACCACTACCATCAAGATACAGAACAGCCCCATAATCCCCTAAATTCCCTTGTGCCCCTCGGTCATCAAACCCTCCTCCCACCTCTAGTCACTGGCAATTACTAATCTGTTTCCTTATATATTTGAACCTTCTCTCTAAACATAAAAATGGAAATATCTTATATTCATTGCCTTCTGCAAGCTGTCCTTCTCACGTATCCATCTGTCTTGTGACCCAAGTCTGAACAGACCTACCTCATGGTATGGATATGACAAGTTGGTTCAGCCTCTTCCCACGTTTAGGGGGCTGTCAGTGTTTCATGACTACAAATAAGGCTGCAATGGACATTCTTGTAAATGTCTCTTTGTGTAAGTGTTTCTCTGGGGTTTGTGCTGAGAAGTGGAATTTCTGGATCATGGGCTGTGCCCATTTAAATTTCTGACATACGTTGTCAAGTTATCTTCCACAGTCGGGATACTGATTTCCATTCCCAAGAGCAATTTATGGGGCCACTGTTTACCCCACACTCGGGCCAATAGGTACTGTCAAAGTGAAATCTGTGCCAATCTAAGGAGGAAAATACCATTTCATTGTTTTACCTGTTCCTAATTGCTAGTGAAGTGAATGTTAATTGATCATTTATACTGTTTTATTCTGTAAAAGATCTATTGATATATCTTTGGTCTGTTTTTTCCTCTTAGGATGGTTTTCGGCTTCATATTGATTTGAAAGAGTTCTTTTGTATGTTCAGTCTGCTAATCCTTCACCAGAAACGTATGTGGCAAATACTTTGAGAGTATAACTTGACACAATTTTCCTGGATAGTAATCTTTTTCTTCTCAAATTCTCATTGAGCTGTCCGAGGAAATATAAAACTACAAAAGCATTCAGAGCAGCCCTGGAATGCAGGGAAGGGTGGTATCAGGGAACCAGAGATTAATTAAAAAATAATTGGAAGATACAAAGCCAAACTTGCTGCAGCTGTGGGGCCTCCAGAGCAGGAGCAGACGGGCGGGGAGGGCCGGCTGGAGGCAGCTTCTGTCCGGCTCCACTATCAGGCGCACCCTGGCTACTGTGGCAAGAGCTTCTTCCTCTGTCCCTGACCTAAGCCAGGTCACCCCCAGGTGCTGACATGTGTGCCTCTCTGACTTCTTTCCTAGACAGAGAGCAGGACAGGCGTCCTGCAGAGTAACTGGCACCGAGGCAAGAAGGACCTGAGAGTTAGCAAGGAACAGTACAGACATGATCTCCACTCCCTGAAGCTCCATCCAGCAAGCAAACCCTTTCCCACGTGATGCTTCATGTCATTTCGAGCTGTGATAAGGGCTCCCAAGGAAATGCACAGGGCGCTCTGAGAACAGACACAGGAGACCTGACCTGGGCTGCTCTATCGGGGAGGTTTCTCAGAGGGCCTGACATTTAAACTGGGAACTGAAGGATGAGACTGAGTTATCAGGAGACGGTGCATGGGGAGAATTCCAGACAGAGGGAACCGCGTACTCAAAGGCTCCGAGGGGTTGGGGGACAGACAGGAACACAGTGCAGTTGATGTTTGGTGAGCTGGTGGGGTGAGGCCACTGAGTAGGCCTTGTGAAAGCATCTAAGCATACGAAGGGAGGTTTGAAGGGAGGTGAGTTCTAGTTTGATGGAGGAATCCAGTTCTGGCGCTCTGAACGCCCCCTCTATGCCCACAGTCCCCAACTCCATGTGCCAGTAGGCAAGTGCGCTTACCTGCCACTCTACCTCCTCCCTGGAGAATCTGTCCGTGGGCCCATCGGGGCTGTCCCGGGAGTTCTCCGCCCCATCTTGCTCCAGGACTGGCAGCAGGTACTGAGAAGGGGGGTAGTATTCCAGCCCTGAGGCTGCAAGAAATGGACACAAGCTGACCAGGAGGGAGGAGACAGTCTCGGTACTCAGAGCAGTCAGCTTCTGCCGCCTTCACCCCTTCCTGCCGCCCCAGCATCTGGTCCCACCCCCGCCTCTGTCCACTGCTCCCCTCCGCTGGAGGCTGGGCCCTCCCGTGTGGCTCACAGTCCTAATGCCTGGGCCTGAAATAGGGCAAGCGCTCAAAAAGCATCAGCTGAGTGAATAAAAGCCCCACCCCCACCTGCCCTTTTACCATCCAAGTGATAATGAGGTGATGGTAAAAGCCTGAGATTAGTTGAGAGGCGTGGGTCCAACAGCCAGCTTCGCCCATAATTCCCCGTGTGTGGGACCCTGGGCAGGATGCTTGCCTTCTCTGGCCTGTGTCGTTCCCTCCTGTATCACTTGAAAGGATTCATACCCTTTTCCCATTATGCCTTATTCTTGCTGATTTGTGGGTACTCTTGACACACGGTAGTTCATAACCTTGGGTCTATAATACATGTTGCAACTATATTCTTCCAGGTGGTAACTCGTGTTTTTCACTTTGATGATGTGTATTTTTGAGGTAATAAAGAAGTTTAGATTTTTATGAGGGGGGAGGGTATAGCTCAGTGGTAGAGCACATACTTAGTGTGCATGAGGTCCTGGGTTCAATCCCAGTACCTCCATTAAGTAAATAAACCTAATTACCTCCCCCTCAAACAGAGAAGTTTAGATTTTAATGTAGTTATCTCCCCACTCAAAGGACCTAAATAGGCAATATGCAAGAAATACTAAAAATGGGCAGTAGACATGAAAAAAATTCAAATAATCAAGGAAATTACATTAAAATAATAACAGGCTCTCTATTTTAGGGGTGTGGGGAGGTAATTAGGCCTATTTTTTTTTTAATGGAGGTACTGGGGATTGAACCCAGGACCTTGTGCCTGCTAGGCACGGGCTCTACCACTGGGCTCTACCCTCCCCCCAATAATGGGCTCTCCTGTTTACACTTTAGATGAGAACACTTTTAAGGGCCATACCAAGTGTTAGCCAGGTTGTGGGGAAGAGTCCTGTCAGACACTTCTCACGGAACGTAAGCTGATGGAACCTCTCCAGAGACAACGTGGCTTGCCTGTCCCTTCCCCCTACCAGCCCCACCATGCCTGGCCTGCAGGGGTACTCCCACTGCGCCAAAGAGGTGTGGCTGAGAACGTTCCTTCCAGGGGAAACTGGAAATAACCTGCGTTTGCAACAGGGGATGGCTGCGTCAGCGATGGGGCTCTGCCACATGGAACACTCCGCAGGAGTTTACAACAAGGTGGACCCACACGTCCTGGGATGGGAAAAGCCCAAGACCTATTCTTGAGTGATAGAAGCAGGGCGGAGGATCACATAATATAACATCTTTTGCAGTTTTTTTCTTTTATGTTTTTAAAAGAGCTACCCAAAGATTTTACACACATACGTATATCTCCTACACAGTTTAAATGAACTGAAGAATTATTTCTTAAGCTATGTAGTAGGTATACATTCATTGCTTTACTCCTTGTCTTTTGTATACCTAGTATTGCATAATTTAAAAATCTTTTTAAATAAAGGGCTTGGTCTAGCTCGACCATGAGCCAGTGTACACATTATAATCACCTGTTGCTCAAAGACTAATTTGGTAGATGTGTAGCCTGATTAGCCGTTGTGTGATGCATGTGTGGCTTCTTTTTCTTTTTTAACTGGAGTATAACACACACAGAAAAGAGCACAGAATTTTCATGGACAGCTTGATGAATGTTTCAAGGTGAAAACGCCCTTATGAGAAGGAATCCGGGTTGGTTCAATGACCTCTTAACTGGTCCACCGTCCTTGCTTCTTCCAACCCCTCCTCGTTACTGCAGCTGGAGTGGCCTTTGCAGAAAGCAAATCTGACCAAACCCCTCTCCTGCGTGACACCAGGCCAGACGCCCCCTCCAGCCTCGTCCAGTGCCTCTCGGCTCTGCCTGTGCACCAGCCCCTTGGCGTCTCCTCCACCATCCCTCCAGGCCCTTCAACAAGGACCTCCTTTTGCCAGGAACATCCTTCTTTCTTTTCTAATCTTCCTTCAGGTTTCAGCTGAGCCACTTTCTCAGACAAATCTTCCCTGAGGCCCCAGACTAAATAGATGCCCCATTCTATGCTTTCATAACCACAATCAGTAACCACACTTCTTTGGGTGAAAACCTGCTTTGCCTGTTTCTCCTTTCAGATATGGAGAGCTCTGAGCAGGGACTGTGGCCTCCTTGGTCTCGCTGTCCCCGTCCTGGCAGGCACAGGGCAGTCGCAGGGGCCACGTTCGGTGCTCACTGAGTGAAAGCGGCGGGCTGCCTGGCTTTACCTTTGCAGAGGAACTGCTGGATGGCCTTGGTGCCGGCGCTGCATACTTCTGGCGGAGGATAAACCATTGATGCCGCATCGAGGCTCAGAGTCTGCAGACACAAGGGGTCCTCTCTTTACATGTTGTTCATTTCACTGCTCAGCACAATCAAAATCCTCCTGGTTTAGTTATTAACCCGTGTGTTCACTGTCGCCTCTGCCTAGCAGGGGAAGCTGCCCTGTCCTGCCCCTGCTGTGTTCCCAGCACTTAGAACAGGGACTAGCATGCAGCAAGCAGTTGATCCATGCTTTTGGATAAATACATGAATGAGCAGAAGAAAAGGAAGCTGAAGGACAACATAGAATAAGATTCCATTTTTGTTAAAAAAAAATATATATATATTCTCACATACTCTCATATTAGTATATTTATAGAAAAAATGAGAAATATATATCAGACTCAAAGTAGTTTCCTCTAAAGGGTAGATTCTGGGGATACTTTCTACGTGAAATGTTAATTACTGGAATTAAAAAAAAACAATATACAGTATGTCTCTTTTTATTAAGAAAGATTCATCCAAGCACACCTGCATATGCTTACAGGTTTATGGCCTAGGAAGCAGGGACCTAGGTTCATGCAAATGCCGCTCAGCTGTCCACACCTGTGGTATTGGTGTTTCAGAAACCAAGCCCTCAGTGGGTGGGGGTATATAGCTCAGTGGCAGAGCACATGCTTAGCATGCCCCAGTCCTGGGTTCAACTGCCAGCACCTCCATTAAAACAAAACAAAACAAAACAGCAAGGCCTCTTCCTGGCATCATCTCACTTCCCTCGGGCCCTCTAACCACACTGAGTGCTGGCAGGAATGACCTCAGGCTCCTTTTGGGAACTGACAGTTTCTCTGCTTGGAGCAGACAGACTGGCCTCGGGGCAGGGGAGTCCTGGAGCAGGGACAAGGCCTGGGAAGCCGCCTCAGATGTATTTCTGCAGCCCCGGCCAGCAGGCCCTTGCACCCGACGGGTGACGAGTGAACACGTATTGGCGTGGGAGCCTGCTCTGGAGCAGAGGAACTGACCGCCTAGGGGTGGGGAGCCCCAAAGCAGAAAACCCCATTCTGGGGTGGAGTGGGAATCCAAAGGAAATTAAGCCCACAGGGGTTACTACTAGTCACCGACAGTAAAGCGCGGTGGTTGAAGACACAAATGTTGACGCTGTACCACCCGGTTCTATGGACAACTCAGGTTAAAATTTTAATTGATTAAAATCAAAGAGAATTTAAAGCTTAGTTCCTCAGTTGTCCCAGCCACGTTTCAAGTGCTCAGTAACCCCAGGTGGCCAGCGGTTACTACACGGGATGGCATAGGTTACAGGACATGTCCGCTGTGAACCCTGAACAGGTCACCTGTCTTCCCCAGGCCGCAGCCCCTGGACCTAAACAGGCACAACACCAGGGACCTGGGAGGCTGACTGATGGGTAACGTGAGATGTGCAGGAGACCCTGGCCTCAACCAAGCACGGCTGCTGCTATTGTCTCCTCCTGAAAAAAGGTTTGTCCAAGCTGCCACCAAGAAACTCAAAAGATTTTTTTTAAAGAACTGATACAAAGGAATCACTCTCAGAACTTTTACTAGCTGTCTCAGAATAGCTTTAGAATGAGGAACACGGCACTGAGCTGTGCTGCCCAATATGGTAGCCACCAAGCAGGTGTGCTGATTTAAATATGTTAATTAAAATTCAATAGAATTAAATATGTAGCTCGTTGGCCATCCTAGCCACATTTCAAGTGCTTGATAGCCACATGTGGTTAGTGGCTACCATATTGGGCAGCATACTCCCTGACCATTTCTATTACTCGGAATGTTCCATTGGACGTTAAGGAGCTTAATTATGTGTGGGCCTGTCTCTCTGGCCTGCCCAGGGAGAGGAGTCGACCATCCTGTCCTTTCTCATGCTGGCCGCGATGGCAGGAGGGACCAGCCATTGGGGTCAGCCACCTTGCTTTGCTGTCTCCACCCTCACCTACCCACTCCCAACATAGACGCCGAGGCCCAGCAGTCTGGCTGGAGCCGTAACTCACTGACGACACATCATCAGAGGACTCCGGGATGCTTGGCCAGACTGGGCGTCATTGCGAATGGATGAGCCCCCTTTCCAGAGGCCAAGCTGCACAGAGCTGAGCACAGGCCCTGGATCCAGTCTGCCTGATTTTGAAGCCCATCTCTGCTATCACTACCTGTGTGGCCTTTGGGCGAGGTCCTTAAACTGTCCATGCCTCAGTTTCTTCATCTGCAAAGAGTGCAACAGTATTTGCCTCAAAGGATTTTTGTGCAGATTCAGGGAACTCATGCAGCTGAAGCACCTAGACTTAGTAAGCACCAGATAAATGTGAGCCATCTTGGCATCATGACGGTAAGAGCCCACCTTCCCTGAGCGAGTTGCCTTATATCAGTGTCTGTTAGGGGCTGAACTGTGTGGCGAGAGTGGCTCCCCACTTACCTCCAGGGTTCGAACATGTGCCAGCATCTGTGGCAACCTCTGAATCTCGTTTTCACTGATGTCCAGAGTACGCAGGCTCCGAAGCTCCCCCGAGGTGTCTGGAAGCTCCTTCAGCTTGTTGTCTGGAGAGATCCCAAAGACACAGCTCAGCATCCCAAAGCCCCTTCACCAGCCTCCTGTCTGACAGCTGCCAGGACTCAGGGGGAGGTGGGGGCCTCATTCGGAGCCTGGGGCACGTGCCAGCTCCTGGAACCCGAGGCTCGTGAGGAAGAACACGACAGTGGAGTTTCAGAGACCTGGGTTCAAGTTCTCATTCCACCACCTACTAGCTGAGTGACTTTGGAAAACTGACTCGACCTCCCTGGGCCACAGTATTCTCATCTGTAAAATGGGGATGATAATACTATTTGGCCTCATAGGAATGTTGATTCAATGAGATCATGCATACGAGGTGCCTATCACATAGTAAGGGATCAGGGGAAGGGGTGCTATTATTTTTATCATTATCTGTACTTTACATATGGGTAAACTGGGGCATTCTCTGCAGAAAGTGCTTAAGGACAACACAAAGAAATGAAAGAGCTGGGGGGCACGGGGAGGTGCAAACCAGAATCTTGGCTCTGTCAGTATCACACTGGGGGCTTCCTAGCCTCACTTTCCTCATCTGTAAACTGGGGATAACACCTCCGCCCTCTCCCTACCTCACGGACTTGTCATGAGGCTTCCCACATCCCTGAATGTGGAAGAAAGTGCTGCTCAGCATCGTTACTGCGGCTCTTGAATCCCTCTGGCTCCCCAGTCAGTTCAGTGCTCTTACCAGTGCCCATTGTTACAAACTCAAATAGCTGTCTTGGGGGCCTTGTTGTCAACACCATCTGCCCTCCTCCCTACAAGGCCCTGGCTCCGCGCCCTCCAGATGCCCTGTCTCTGGTAACCATGGAGACAGACTGACCAAACAGGAAGTCAGACAGTTCACAATGACACCTGGGGGCTGGCTGCCCTCATGCACAATGGTTCCCAGAGGAAGCACCCTGTGGGTGCTGACTAGGTCAGCCCAGAGCTGGCTGAGGGTCACACGGACAGGGCTTCCTGGCCCCTACCTTTCACACTGAGGGTCTGGAGCTGGATCAGGTTCCCAATGGAACGTGGGAGATACGTCAGTTGATTCCTCTCCATGTTCAAGACCTAAGAAAGAGGGAAAAGTAACATGAGAACCCCCACACAGACACAGTGTTTCCTCCTGCTTCAGGCCAGGCATTATCTGGGCACCACACACATTTGTGTCTCCTGACAGCCCTGTGAGGAAGATAGAGGCTGTTATCATCCCATTTGAGAGATGGGAAAACTGAGGCTCAGAGTGATGAAGTCATGTGTCCAAGAGGGCAAAGCCAGATTCTGAACCTGGTTCTTGCTGAGGCTGTTATCAGTCATAATGACCACAAAATAGTCAATTACAGCCCCACAATCAGGGCAGGAGGAAGAATGGGACTGACAGATACAGGGATCTGGGTGACGCAGCACAACAAGGCCTAGTTACCCCAGTGTTAGCAGAAGAAAACCAAGCTGCATAAAGGCAATGGACCTGCACAAGGTCTCAAGGCTGGAAGCCGGTGGTGCCAGGATCCAAGCCTGGGCTTACTGGATTCTGAAGGCCATGCTCCCTCCAGGATGCAGTGAGGGAGAACAGGAAGATACACTAAATTGCCACTAAAAATAGATACAATGGAAAGCTGAGCACATAAAAAACAATGTGGCAGATGAATATTTGATGAACCAAAGGATGCTAACGAGTTACTGTCAGGTATCCGAAAGTTACAAAACAGTGAACGCAGCAATTCTACAAAAATATGTACAGAAAGTCCCCAAAGAGCCTATACTAAGGTCTTCACTGAGGCTCACTCTCCATGGTGGCAGTTATGACTGTTCTGCCACGTGTCCCCTATGTGACTCTGGGCAAGTTACAGTCATCCTTCTGGATCTGTTTTCTCTTCTGTAAATGTGAGAACATCATCCACATCATAGGGTAGTTCATTCAAATCATTTCTAGTCTCTTCCACGTGTGAGACAGTGTGCTAGGCGTGGGTGCTGCCCTCACGGAGATTACAGTTCAGGAGGGGAAGACGGCCAAGCACAACTAGTGATTACAGACTGCAATCTGTGCTCTCAGGGATTGAGACAGAGGCAAATAAGGTAGATCCAGCTGGACAGGGAGGACAGGAAGAATTCTTGGCGACATTTGGGCTGAGACGGAGTTTGAGCCAATCCAGCAGAAGGAAGAGCGGCGTGGAAAGGCCCTGCTGGGGGTGGAGCACAGAGGCCAGAGGGTTTTAGGAGCTGAGTGCAGGCAGCCAAGGGGAGAGAGTAGGCGAGGAGGCTGGAAAGACAGGTGGGCCTGTTGTACAGGGTCTGATGGGGCACAGTGAAGACGAGGGATGTTAACCTGAGTGTGAAGGGAGGCATGTCTTCCTCTGTGAAACGGGGATGATGCATACACCCACCTCACAGTGTGGCTGTGGGGAATCAACCGATAACTCAAGCGAAATGCCTAGGTAGGTGCTGGCGCCCTGGGAGCGCTCAACAACGCAAAGGCTGCCACTGACAAGGAACAGAAGTGAACTGGCGAGTCAGGATGCTGAGTTCATGTTTTGAAAAAGTAGACTCACTGGGTCTTCTTCTCTAAAATTGTGGCAACTCATGATGAAATCCCAAAAGCACATGCCAAACATACCGTAGAGAGATGCCCACAGCCCAGACTGCAGTGCTGACGCCATCACTGGGTATCTCAATACCAAAGGGGGATGAGCAGCCACCAAGTGCAGCCCTGGCCACAGCATTCCAGGTCTGTGTAGCTTTCTTATGTAGGGGGTCAGAGGGGGGCTTTCTGTTTCCTGCAGCCATACCTGGAGGGCTGTCAGCTGCCCTATATCGTCAGGAAGGGCTACCAGCTGATTATCATGAAGATCTAGAACCTGTGGGAGGAAAACAAGTTTAACACCTAAAAGTCACCAACTGAGAAAGCCCCTGGGATTTGAGGCTCCAAAGACAAGGGCGTGGTGGGGGTGGGGCGCCCTCAGGCCTCTGGTGTTGAAACAAAGAGCACCCAGACCTTCCTCCCCAACTAAGTGACCACTCCACTCATTTCCTTTCTAAAAATATACTATTTTACCCTTTTACATCAAATATTTGTTTTTACTCTTGAGTGAAAACAGTATGTTACAAAACAGAATGCACAGATATTCAAATGTTAAAAAGAAAAACTTATAGTATAAACATAGCATAGAAAAAACTACCAAATATATAATATGTAATATATCAATATAAAATACTGATAATGGTTCTTAAGAATGTGAAACTATGTTTTTCCTTATGCTTAACAGTATTTGCTAATGTTTTTTACAATAAAAATGAACAAAAAAGGTATAGGATATATATCTGCATGCATATGCAGATATAACATGCATATATAAAAAATATAAATATACACAAATATAAAGTTTTTTAAATGTTACCTTTTTTCCTGATTATAAAAATAACGCCTGGTGGACCAGAACAGCAAAGAGAAGTAAAAACTACCCCTAAGACCTACGTACCAGTTGTTAACTATAAAAAACACTTTGATACACGTGCTGGCAGTCATTTCTCCTAGTGTGGACAGGACACCCACTGTCACAGCTCATGTTCACGTAGAATAGTCCTGGGGTCACGCTCACCTATACTGTGAATGTGTCCCAGGCCCTGTCCTGGGGGAGCTGACGGTCACGGGGGAGTTGCCCCAGGTCACCAAGCTTTCACACTGATCATAGACTGCCTGGCGTCTCTTCTGTTCCTTCTTGTTTTTGGGCCCCTCAAACTCCCTGCTCTCTGCTAGCTCACTTGCTACGAGCTTATGGTTTGCCTTGCCGCCTAGTGGGTAAGCTCTCTGAGGGCAGGGCCTGTGGCTGCTTCTCTCTGCAATCCCACTCTGCACAAAGCACAGATAAGATGCCCAACAAACCATGCTGATCAAACCCCAGATTCACTCTGACATTAGGTACGTCTGGAATAAATGTTGACAGAGGAGATGTGAAAGAAGTGGAGATGTCTGGCTGCCACCTGAAACACCATGCAGAGTCCCTGATGCCTGGGAGAAGGGCCCCCATACCTTGATGGTTGCCAGACTCAGGAGGCTGCAGGATTTAGGAAGCAGGGAAGTGAGGTGATTCGTGTGGACAATCAACACCTGTGTGGAAAAGATTTTCAGTGTGTTAGGCTGAAGAAGAGCAGCAGGCAGGCAAGGCTGGAGGCAGGGCAGACAGCTCAGCACAGGGTGCTCAGTGGCCCCGCCCCGCCCCGTTCTCCCCTCTTGTAATCACAGCGAGGGATGCAGTTCAGAATCACAGGACCTCCAAATGTGGACTCAGGTGACCTTAAAATCTGGAATTTCAGGGTGAAAGGGACCTTAGAGGTCTAATTCTACCTTCCATCCCAAGAAGGAATCTCCTGCAGCTGTCCTGATCTTAACCTCCCTCAGCTGCAGCATCCTCACATAGAAAATAGAGAACAATACATTTCTGCCTCCAAGGGCTGCCACTGATGGTTAACAAGATAACTGATAAAAAGCACTTAGCCCAGGGCTGGCACGTGGTCCAGTGCTCAATCCAAGTTGTCTATTTCTATTTTTGTTAGGCATCGACTCCTGTGTGGATACTTCTGGTGTCAAAGAGCTCACTACTCTGTTGGTAGGGAACATTTTTCCTTCCTTCATTTAGATGTTTCATTTAGAATACTCTCATCTATCTGCATTTAAGGTTGCAATGCTTTCTGAAAAATCACTTATTTGGATCTCCCCTGGGTGGCCAGAATAAAATGAGTGTAGTTTTTATTATTAACAATGAGGTTACTCAGTGTCTACTATGTGGCAGGCCTTACACTCAGCACATTTTTATCTCTGTCTCTACCTACATACCTGTCACTCATTTAATTCTCACAACTCCTCTGCAAGCAAAGATCTACGAATGTCTTCATTTCATAGATGAAGAAACTGAGACGTAAGAGTCTAAGGAAGTTGCCCAAGTCAGGAGGGACAAAGCCAGGATGGGACCCAGAGCTGTTCGATGCCAAAGCCTGCTCTCCTGTGAACACGCCTGCTGCAGGCTGAGAGGGTGCGATTCAGGGGGAAGGGGGATGTCCATGTCAGGAAGGCAACTCCTAGAATTCCCACCTGATTTCAAACACGCACACACACAGTAAATCTCTGAAAATTAAGATTCGTCTCACCTTCTTCTGAAGAACTTTGCATGTTGCAAAAGCCCCAAATGGAATCTAAGATAAGATAAAGAAGAGTCAGTGCCTCCCTTCCTGGCAGTTTTAAACTTGTTTTCTGAGTGGCACACACGCGAGGGAGAGACGGGGCGGGAGGTGAATGGGCGCTAAGCCCGCGGGAGGCTGGGAGGGACACTGCTTCAGGTGATCAGCCCTCCCTTCCAATCAGCTGTCGGCTGACTGCACTGCCTGGCCCTAGCCCACCCATCCCATCCCCTCATGGACACTATGAGGGGCAAGAGAAAGATCTCTGGTGCTTTGCAGAGGCTGGAGAATCCCAGGCTCTCCCAGTGCCTTAGGAATCTGTGGGTACACTTTCGAGACTCTTTGACTCTTGAAGACTATGTTGAGGCCATAAGAGCATCTCAATTCTTTGGAAAAGAACCAAAATCTAAGGAAATAGCTCTTGATCAGCCTTTTAAAAGCCCCACGACACACCTGTCTTAACCAGAAGGGCAGATAAAGATTCAGAGCCGGAACACCACCCCAGTTTACCTCTGAGAGCTCACATTTAGAGATATCAAGAATGTCATCTGCCCCAGCTTCTTTTGCCTAAGGATAAAAAGAATTTTTAAAAAGTGTTCAAGCAAAACATTCTTGCAGAGTGGGCAAACCAGGCAAAGAAACATAGGATTAAGGAGCTTTAATCACAGACACCATCCGGTTCAGCTAGTCCATTCTGCAAGTGGACCAATGATCTCTGCTTTAACGGGGCTTGAGGTCCAGCAGGGAAGAGAAATAAGCAAGTAATGACAAATGTGATCAGTCTATGGAGGGGAAGTGTAGTGTGGAGTCCTGTTTCCTGGGGCAGAGGTGGAGATGGGGATGGACTCAAAGGAAACACATTTTCCCTCACCAGACACATCTGGTACTCCAGGCGTTTCCGAGCCTCCTCACTGGGTTTCCGCTTCCGGAAGAAGAGGGGCATCCTTCCTTTTTCCTAGAGCAATCTTCACAGCACTAGGGCACAGGGGAGAAGTTAGGGCCTGGGGAATCTGTCACAGGCCCCCGACACCCAGGACAGGTAGCACAGTAACACAGAGCATGTAGCCGATCTGCTGGGCTGTAAGTTCCTTGGAGGCAGGGACTGTGTCCATCTCAACTGTCACACTGTGCCCTGAGCCTGGTACAGCATGTGCTCAAAACTCTCTGTTCTTTGTTGATGACACAATAAGCAGCAGGATGTGGAAAGAGCACACGGCAAGCCAGGTGACCTGGGTTCAAGCACACATTTGGCCCTGATGCACTGTGAAACCCTGGTATATCCCTTCCCATTCTCTTTTCCACATTAGACAAGGGGATTGATCTGGAGAAGTGTCCTCAGGTCCTTTCCAAGGATGCTCTTTGAGGACTCTCACAGACAATCACTTCTAGCTTCGGAAACACTATTAGAGTGGCATCAGCATACCAAACACTGCCTGGCTTTAGCCAGCCCTGACCTCGACCTTGAGGAACGCAACCACATCATAACCAAAGAGATTTCTCAGCTAAATAAAAATTCGAAAGCAATCCTCAGGCACCTTACCACTCTCACAGTTATTATTCCATTTGATTTTCACACAGCCCTGTTTATAGTTACGGAAACTGATGCTTGTCAAGCTCAGGGATCTGGTCGTACAGCCTGGATCGTAGCAAAACCAGTCTGGACCTCAGCTCTTTCAAGTCCTGATCCTGTGGAATCTGCCCAACTCCTTGGTGCTTAAAAAACTTAGCACACACTAAGTACACTGTCCTGAACTCAGAAGATAGGTGCTCACTGCCTCTCCAGTACTGGAAAATATCAGCACTTGATACAGGACATTAATAGGCCAGGAAGCAATCATACAGGGAAGCATGGTTAACTGCATCGGCTTTGGGATGAAATATAATTTTTTTCTTTCTTTTTCTTTTTTTTTGTTCAACTGGTTTTGAATCTCAGGTCTGCCACCCACCAACCGTGTCTCCTTGGTTCACCTCTCTGAGCCTCAGTTTCCTCATCTGTAAAGTGTGAGTAATACTGTTACCAATACCTGCTTCTATTTGGATCCAGTGATCTCATGTATGTAAAGCCTGTAGCACAGTACTTGGCACATAATAAGTGTCCAATAAATGTTAGCCACACAGCACCATACATCTAACTAATGTTTATTCAGGGCTTACTACAATTTAAGGAGATAGGGAGAAAGGGGCTGGGACCATATGCAGTTCAAGAAGACAGACACCCAGTCCTCAGGGGGAGGGGTAGAGATCACAGGTCTCCAGGGCGTGGGCTGTCTGGAGAGCTGGCCAAGCCTGCAGAGTTGGCTCAGGTCCCTTTTATCACCCTACCTGTCTGCAAGGGTGAGGAATAATTTAAAAACCGCCCTCCCTCATCTCTTCCAGATGACCAGCTCTTATCCTTCTGCTCCACAATGAATAACCCTCCCTCACCTCTTTCCCAATTGCTCTCCCCACATCCTCCCCAATGGCCATCCCTCCTCCTACCCTCTTGGAAGATTAGCTCTTCCTGATCGGTTCCCGGATGTCCACCCTTCATCCATCCCCTCCCCTGACGTCCAGCCCAGATGGGAAGAGCCACACCTATTCTTCCCTGGCTGGAGTGGTCAGTGCCCAACCTTGCTTTGCGGACAGTCAGGACCCTGACGTTCGTTCCCCTGGGTGGACCCGAAGGCAGGCAGATTACTCGTAGGGCTTGGTCATGGACGCGGGGTGGCAGATCCCCCGGCACAGGCCTCGCGGAGCCGGAGTGTGGTCTCCAAATGCAGGAACTCAGGACCGAAACTCAGAATCTCAGAAAGTCATGCAGACCAGGATGACGAAGTCTGAGATCGAGGACTGCAGAATCTTAGAATTGAGTTGGACCGCGTTTAGACTCGAGTAAAATTGTTTTGATAGTGAAAATGCGCACATCATGAGGGAGTCTGGGGATCGCTGTGGCCGTGGGGTCTTGGAATGCGGGTGCGGACCCTCAGGAGAGGGGCGGGGCTCCGGGACTGGGTGACAGGGACTATGGGGTGACCCTCACCACAAGGGAGAATGGTGACCAGCGGGGCCTGGGATCTCAGGAGAAGCCCTCTGTTGTCTGTCTTTCCAGGAAGAACTGCCCCAAACCCCACCTTCCGAGCCCCTAGTCACAGCTCACCGCGATGCCGGGTTCTCCAACCGTCAGCCTCAGGTGCCTGCCCACAAGCAATATGGCAACAAGGGCGTCTGTGGGGCTGGGCGGAGACGGCAGTTCTCGCGAGAGCCGCGCTTTCAGGCCTATATCCGGCGTAACTGCCCTTTCTTCCGGTCTTTCGGCTTTTGGCTCGGAGGAGGGCGAGGTGCAACTTTCTTCGGTCGTCCCGAATCCGGGTTCATCCGACACCAGCCGCCTCCACCATGCCGCCTAAGTTCGACCCCAACGAGATCAAAGTCGGTGCGTGCTTTAGATGTGGCCGGGGCTACGGGATGGAGCATCCCTCCTCGCATTCCGCCTGGCTTTCGGCCCCCGCCGCATTTTCCTTTCCTACGTCGGGCTTTAGAGCCGCTGCCTCTTAGAGGCACGTCCTTCTGGTGCTGCGTTCAGGGCGCTGTGCGGCCCTGGCCGAGTCTCTTGCTCTTTCTGGGCCTCAGCTTCCCCACGTGTAAATGGGGAGGGAGGACCGGACGACCTGTGGCGCCTTTGCAGCCCGCACGCCTTAGGGTAAGGTTTTTTTTCCCCGGGCGCTTCCTTTAGGCTGGGTTAACTCGCGGTCGGGCTGCCTCCACGCCGGCCCGGTGTGGGCCTGGGCAGCCGTGGCCAAACCAAAGGCCGCTGTCCCACGTGGTGCTTGGAGCCGTCCACACTTTGTAGGGGGGCTGCCTCGTTCCCCGCTGAGGCTCTTGGAGCGTTCTGAAAAGAGGCAAAAGGTGGTGTGGCCAGGCCCGGAAAGGTGCGGAGTAAGGACTGTGACTTAGGGTTCTTACGGAGCTGCTGATTTTCCTTTCTCCTAGTATACCTGAGGTGCACCGGTGGAGAAGTCGGTGCCACATCTGCCTTGGCTCCAAAGATCGGTCCTCTGGGTCTGGTAAGTTCCTCCTGGAGGGGCGTCTCTAGCATGAGGAGAGCAGACTTAGACTCGGCTTGTACACACACGATCGTCTGAGGTGCTGTTGACATCGGGAGATCGCCCTCCCCATTCAGACCTCGGAGCCACTGAATGACACGAGCTGCTGTAGAAAGGCTATTTATGAAAATGGAACCTACTACCTTGAACCTGTAACTTTTAAACATTTGCTAACTGCTTCTCTTAGCCTGCCAGTCTACCAGAGGGGCGAGATAGGGGAGGTTTTTGAAGTCAAGAATAGCTTAGTGACACTGCGCAGCCTGCTTAGCATATTTCCTAGGGAAATGGGCATATGGCTGTTGGGAGGATTAAATAAGGTGTGACGTGAGGATCTTGGTAACGTTAGGGTAGCCTGTATTAACTTTGAACATATTTGTTAATATGACCGGCTTTATCTTATGATCAGCCTTATTTACCAGCCTCCCCCTCCATTTTATACTTTTAACTGAACTTCTTTTTCTTTAAAGAAATATTTTTTTAATGGAAGTGCTGGGAATTGAACCTAGGACCTCATGCATGCTAAGCATGATCTCTACCACTGAGTTATACCCACCCCTGAACTTTAAGTATCATGCCATTATTCCTTGGGCAGTAGTTTCCTGTCCCAAACACTCTCCCACAAGTTTTGCTTAACCAGAGTCTTAACTCTTGCTTGGCCCTTAGCTCAGCTGGCACTCACTGGACATCTCTCCTGTTTGGGGGATTGTAAGGCAGCAAATGTCCAGCCCCATCCCCACAGATTAATTTGGATTAGTCAGACACAGGAACCTGGTGTCTTTAAAGGTCCCCAGGTGATTTGAATGTAAAAGGGTTGAAAATCCCTACATTACCACATAGGCCCTTAGGAGAGGGGATGGGTAGGTAAGGCACTTGGGGTCCATTGTGGTCTTGAGTCTGCAGTTTACAGCCCTGGACAAACTTCACCCCAGCCTCATTTTTCCAATTTATATTACAGTGAATAGCCATGCCTTGGTTGGATAGGCACAATTAGGTGTGTTTTAGAAGCCTTCTTGGTGCTGCCAAGTGAGGACTGGGCAGATTTTCAGATTGGTTTGATTTAGGGCACAGTGTTGACTATGTACCTTTTATCTTGACAGTCTCCAAAAAAAGTTGGTGATGACATTGCCAAGGCGACTGGTGATTGGAAGGGTCTGAGGATTACAGTGAAACTGACCATTCAGAACAGACAGGCCCAGGTACTTGGTTTGAGGGAGGGCAGAGGTAGCAACCCTCTGGGATTCCTGGGTAGAAAGTTTTTGCTGACAAGGCCATCTGCCACTTGTGGTGATCTAAGAGTAATTTCATTTGTGGGGAAGGTTTTGAGATTATGAGCCAAGTATTAACTTTTCACTTTTGAGACACTGGGCAAATCACTTATGTCTCCTGACGAAGGATGTTTCGGGTTGTGAAAATTAACTTAATGTACAGTAAATCCAGTGTCTGGTCCATGGTCTCTGAGAGCCAAGGTGCATTGATCTCATTGGACAGTGGGGTATGGCTCATTCACATTGAGACTCTCTTCTGCAGATTGAGGTGGTACCTTCTGCTTCTGCCCTGATCATCAAAGCCCTCAAGGAACCCCCAAGAGACAGAAAGAAGCAGAAAAACAGTGAGTGGCTTTTTCCCTGATAATTTGTGAGTGGCATTGTGTACCCTGTGTTTGATACACAACTGCATGTGCTCCCTTGAATGAAACCTAGGGATGGTACAGGTATTTGATTTCAAGTTGTTACGGAGCCAGACACTGCCAGAGAACTGCCATGTGGCTCTCCCCAAGCCGTGGTGTGGGACAGATCGCACTTGGTGCTTGCAGGAGGGAAATGTGGGTAGGCAGGGTGAAGAAACAGAAAGCTGAGCAGTAATCAGGAAAGTCGGCTTCTTAGCTGGTTGACAGACTCGATGGACACCTCAGTCACTTCACCTTGTAACAGATAGTCTGTTCTGTATAAGGTTAGCAAAGACTTGATTTTTGTCCCTAGCCACCCGCCACTGCACCTGACCAGTTCTCTGTTGGCTGGTGCAATCCAGTGGTGAGCTGATACTAAACCCCAGCTTAGGAAACAGGGTTGTTCTTCATGTGGATGACTCTGTGCCGAAAGCATGGGAACAGCCCAGAAATGGATGAGGGAGGACATTGTGGTCTGCTCTGGCCTCAGCTGGTGACAAAGCTTTTGCTGTTTTTTTCTTTTCCGCAGTTAAGCACAGTGGAAACATCACTTTTGATGAGATTGTCAACATTGCCCGACAGATGAGGCACCGGTCTCTAGCTAGAGAGCTCTCTGGTAAGAGCAGGACAGTATGGAGCCACCATAATTGTCATACGAGATGAATTCGCTAAGTAGTAGCATTTTCCCACTTATAGGGGACTTTACTCTGTAAGGCCTGAAATTGGTGTTTTCTGGGTTTGAAAGAATAGTTTTAGGATTGTGAAGATCGTTTTGGGTTGGGTGTGTAATTTGGGTGGATCAAGGGACCCATGGACATTTTGCATTTAGAGCCTTTAAATGGAGCTCTGAATTTTGGATGAGGGGATTGGAGATATTATGCCATGAAATAGTTAATCCTCTCCTTGTATTTCCCTACAGGTATCTGAGGATTAGGAGGAACTGGCAGCCCCTCTGACACTGCCTTTTTTTTTCATTACAGGAACCATTAAGGAGATCCTGGGGACTGCCCAGTCTGTGGGCTGCAATGTTGATGGCCGCCACCCTCACGACATCATAGAGGACATCAACAGTGGTGCGGTGGAATGCCCAGCGGTATGTGACTTCTGCACTGATTTCATTTGCTTAATAAAAGGTGAAAGCTTGTGGGCGTTTAATGTATCAGATATATTAGAGGTTGAAAGTTCTAGAAATGCTCAGTGGGGTTGGGATAGTTTTTTTGTCTGTTACTGAGAGGGTTATTTTTTTCTTTCCCACAGAGTTAACTACAAAGGAAGATGACTTAATAAAGGGTTATTTGACAACTAATGGACTTTTTGATGTGACCTTTTCCTTGGGGGAGCTTAGCCTTTGTTGTCAAATGGTCACTGAGGCCAAGGTGACAACCTGTGGAGGGAGCAGCAGTCTGAGTAACAAGCTTCTTGTGGACAACAGATTATACTCTTTATGGAACTAGCTCAGAAAAGACCTAGGAGGGAAGTTTGCTTTTTGTACACACTCATGGAGCTCATTAGAAAAAATTCTTGGTCAGAAAGAAAACTTGTAGTTCAGCATAGACACAAGGGGAAGGAGCTTTTCACCCCCAAATTTAATTATTTGGTGGGTTGAGGGCTCAGGGCCCATGATTCAGGGCTTTGCTATCCAGTCCAGTGCATAGCTTAGATGCAGAACCACTGATGAACCTGACCAGGCCTTAAGAGTCTGACTGATCCTGAGTTAATGTGAAAGTGAGGTTCAAGTTTACTTCTGCAGTCTTACCAGCAGCGTCTGGCCCTACCCGGAACTGGTTTTAGACCGGTAACTGTTTTCTGATGCATTCACCTTTCCCAAGCTTCTTGTCTTTCCCTTAGTGGGAGAGTTTCCTTTGACTTTCTAGAGCTCATCACTCACTTTAACCTTATTTGATGTGCAATGAGTGAACCTCAAAAACACCTGGGCACTGAAGTACCACCCACCCTAAAGGCTGAGAATGACTTCCCCAAGAGTGTCATTTCCCTGGCATTAAGTCACTTTTTTGCTCCCATTTTGTCAAGTCTTTTGAGGTGGTTTTCAGTTGATACTGGTGCAAGCAGCACTGGTAAACTGCCTTTAGTGGAAAGGATTACCTGAGATCTCCGCAGTGAGGAAGGTTCCAGGACATGGGGCAAGTCAACTAAGAAATCAAAGGTAGAGACCTTGGGTGATGACCGTTAAGTGTCCAACAGTGTCCTTTACAGTAGACCAGTCATGGGAAGTCTGAAATTAAGCTTACCTAACCAAAAAGCTGTGGAAGAACACAGGAGTTTGTAAGTGCTGAGATAAGATCTACACCAGTTGGGTGCAGGAGAGAAAGGAAGCAAGCCAACAGGATAAAGAGCTTGATACAAAAGAAGAGGGGAAAGTGAAAATGACCCACCTGTCTGAGCCAGGGAGAGCACGGCTGCCGCCAGGCTCCCCCAATCTCATCAGCCCTGTTAGGGACTCCATTTAAAGGTACGTACCTTACTAGAAAAGACCACTTGAACAGATTGTGTGAACTGTGTCTAGATTTGGCATCAGGGTTTGAGTATTCCTCCCCCATCCCCATTCTAGTGTGTAATTGGCCCTTGAATCCCCTTCCTCACTTGAATTCCCCCCAGATACCTTAGTGGCCCTGCAGTGGAGAATACATGTTCTTGATTCTCCTTTTGTAACAGCTTTCATGCAAGCAGATTACTGGGACCAGACCGCTGCCAAAATACCTGGCCTTTAAGTAGGAGCTAAGTCCTTCACTCATTCCTTATAAACCAAGATTTTTGGATTGCTTGCTACATAAAACACTACAAGGGTATAATTGGAGTTGGGCTGTCTATGCTTGCTTAAGATGGTGAGAAATTAGCACCTGAGACCTTCCACATGCAACATGTAAAATGGTGACTATTTTATTAAAGGTGCTTTTACTTGTGGCTCTGGGCTACAGACTTAAAGTCAGATGTCCCCAGTCCACTCTGGTTGTATTCCCAGTTACTCTCCAGCATGGAGTCTCTGATGTCTGATGAAGGCTGAACTACACCTGAAGGCCTTCCCACACACTCTGCATTCATAGGGCTTCACACCAGTGTGAATTCTCTGATGCTGACTAAGGGATGAGCTCTGGTTAAATGCTTTTCCACACTCATTGCACTCGTAGGGCTTTTCGCCTGTGTGAATTATATGATGTCGAATGAGGGCTGAGCTCTCACTGAAGAACTTCCCACACTCATTACATTTATAAGGCTTCTCCCCAGTGTGGGTCTTTTGGTGGATTATAAGGTTTGTACTTTGGCTGAAGGCCCTTCCGCACTCGCTGCACTTGTAGGGCTTCTCCCCGGTGTGAGTCCTCTGGTGGTTTGTGAGGTTCGCGCTCTGGCTAAAGGCCTTCCCACATGCGTTACACCTGTAGGGCTTCTCCCCGGTGTGGATTCTCTGGTGCTGAATAAAGGCTGCGCAGTAGCTGAAGGCCCTTCCGCACTCGCTGCACTTGTAGGGCTTCTCCCCGGTGTGAGTCCTCTGGTGGTTTGTGAGGTTTGCGCTGTGTCGGAAGGCCTTCCCACAGTCACTGCATTCATAAGGCTTCTCTCCGGTGTGAATTCTCTGATGCTGAACCAGGGCTGAACAGTCACTGAAGGCTTTCTCACACTCACTACATTTGTAGGGCTTTTCTCCGGTATGAGTTCGCTGGTGTTTTGTGAGGTTTGCGTTCTGGCTGAAGGCCCTTCCACACTCACCACACTTATAAGGTTTCTCTCCAGTGTGAATCCTCTGGTGCTGAATAAGAGAGGAGCTCTGGCTGAAGGCCTTCCCGCATTCACTGCACTCATACGGCTTCTCCCC